ATCTATCTATCTATCTATCTATCTATCTATCTATCTATCTATCTATCCATCATCCATCCATCCATATCTATCTATATCAATCTATCAATCTTTTTATCATCCATCCATCCATCCATCCAGCTGCCCACTCACCCCAGTGTCTCTGGGCAGCTTACAAAATAAATACTAGCTAAAAACCCAATATACAACAATAAAAATAATCATCCCTCACCCCCCATCCCTCTGGCAAAAGCAATCCGTCAAAGAAACCATTTGATGGGCTCCATGCCACTCTGGGTTCCTCAGGCTCCTTGGCAAAACCTGGGGCCTTGCGAAAAGGTGTCAAAGTTGGGGCCCATTTAATACCTGTGGGAATGATGTTCCCAAGGGAGGGAGCCACCATGGAGAAGGCCCTTCTTCTGGGTCCTGCCAAATGTACCTTCTTAAAAAAAGGGGAACCTTGAAATAACCCCTGCCTCTCTGTTCTGGTAGGTTGGGTGGATGTTAACTGGGGAAAAGATGCTCCTTCAGATAACCTTGCCCCAAACCACGTAACAGAATAACAGAGTTGGGAGGGATCTTGGAGGTCTTCTAGTCCAATCCCCTGCCCAAGCAAGAAATCCTATACCAATTCAGACAAATGCTTGTCCAATCTCTTCTTAAAAACCTCCAGTGTTGAAGAACCCACAACTTCTGGAGGCAAGTGGTTCCACTGGTTTATTGTTCTGACTGTAAGGACATTTCTCCTTAGTTCTAGGTTGCTTCTCTCCTTGATTGGTTTCCACCCATTGCTTCTTGTCCTGCCCTCAGGTGCTTTGGAGAATAGCTTGACTCCTTCTTCTTTGTGGCAGCCCCTCAAATACTGGAACACTGCTATCGTGTCACCCACTAGTCCTTCTTTCATTCTAAACATTCCCAATTCCTGCAACCGTTCTTCATATATATATTTTAGCCTCTGGTCCCCTAATCATCTTGGTTGCTCTTCTCTGCACTCTTTCCAGAGTCTCAACATCTGTTTCCTATTGTGGTGACCAAAACCAGGTGCAATATTCCAAGTGTGGTCTTACCGGGGCATTATAAATTGGTATTAGCACTTCATGTGATCTTAATTCTATCCCTCTGTTAATGCAGCCGTGTAGGGTTTTAAAGGTGACAACTAACATCTTGAATTGGGACCTGGAAGCCAACTGACAACTAATGCAGCTCCCGCAGGTAAGGTAACACATGTGCACACTTGGGCCTGCACAAAACCATGTGGGCTGCAGCATTCTGGACCAATTGTAACCTCCGGATACTTTTCAAGGGCAGCCCCATGTAGCGTGCATTGCAATAGTCAAGACAGGCGGTAATTAGGGTGTTAAAGGAATGTTAAAAGATGTTCCCACTAAAACATTCCTCCTTAAACTTGCATTTTCCTGATGAATTTTAGGAATTCAATATCCCAGAGTCCCAATATATCTGGAGAGGCTTGGCTGGGGGAGGCTCCACTAACCCCTTGTGATAAAAGCCAGCACAATTTTATCCCCACATCATCATTTCTCCTTTTTCTTTTTAATATACCACGCTACCTGACTGATTGCCTGGCAGGTTTACTAACTGATGCCATGCAAGGATTAATGGTGCCTGTCCAACTTTAATAAAAAACCTACGATCCAAATATACTGCTGGTGTTCCTGGTGGCAGGCGTGGCTTTTTTCTTTTTGTTCTTCTTCCTCGTGAGCACAGAGTTGCTGATCTTGCTGGATTTTGGGTAAGACCTACCAGGATTGTGACGGGCAGGTGGCTCACAAAACGAGCTGGCAACCTTTGCTCTTGGGAAAAAAAACCACAGGACAACTGATACCCCTATAGTGGTATAAGTATAATAGGTGACATAGTGTAATAAGATTGGGACCGGATTAGGGGCTTCTGTCCTCATTGAGAGTTGTGTTGGGGTTCGTGGGGTTGCACCAAGGGAGGCTCAGCCAATCTCATTGTACACATGTTGTATTCTGACAATAAAGGTAACAATAATAATAATAATATTTTTCTCAGGCTCTCAAACAATTAAGCAATGTGATGTCTGTCCCAAAGAGGCTTTTTTTTTTTCAAGAGGCAACTAGATTTCCTTGTTTTTCTTTGAAGATGTTTCGCTTCTCATCCAAGAAGCTTCTTCAGCTCCGATTGGATTGGTGGGGAATGAGTCAATCAGAGTTTCTTGGATGAGAAGCGAAACGTCTTCGAAGAAAAACCAGAAAGTCCACTTGCCTCTTGAAAAAGCCCCTTTGGGACCACCGTGACCTGGAGGACTGAGAATCTCCAGAGCCTTCATAACCAGTTGTTTAGCGACTGTTCAAAGCTATAACTCCCCAGAGTTATTTACAACTCGTTTTTGTTTTGACGGATGCAACCTTCCACCTTACCCCAGGGCTCACATCATCCCACAGTGAATGTGAGACGGTTGCCAAACACCCAAAATACGATTATGATCACAATTTTTAGCATTTTTTTTGCTGGCTTCTGGTGTTTATCCCAAAGCTGCTTCCCTCCCCCCCACTTTTTTTTTTCAGGAGGCAACTGGACTTTCTAGTTTTTTCTTTTGAAGACGTTTTGCTTCTCATCCAAGAAGCTTCTTCAGCTCTGACTGAATCAATCAGAGCTGAAGAAGCATCTTGGATGAGAAGTGAAATGTCTTCAAAAAAAACAACAAGAAAGCCCAGTTGCCTCCTGAAAAAAAGCACCTTTGGGGCAATCATGACCTGGAGGACTGAGAATCTCCACAGATATTTTTTTCCTTTAGTTTAATTCTCAGTGAGAAATTGAAAATCTTGGCTGGGCTGGGCTATTACCCCGCAAAGACTTAGTTGGACTGTACCACTTCAGATATAAGCCCCCTACAAGGTGTTTTTGGAAGGGTAGACCCCATCTCAAGGATCTGAACATTCATTTTGACTGGGTTTTTCTTCCTTTTCTCCCCTGTTTTAGGGGGCAGGAGAAGGAAATTCCTTCTCCAAGAGAACTCCTCTAATTGCTAGTGGGGAATGGAAGGATCCAGTCAGAGCTGAAGAAGCTTCTTGGATGAGAAGCAAAACATCTTCAGAGCAAAAAAAAAACAGAAAGTCCAGTCGCCTCTTGAAAAAAAGCCCCTTTGGGACAAACCATGACCTGGAGGATTGAGAGTCTCCATAGACAATGCGATGCCTGTTCTGTTTGGAGGCATAAAAAGACAGGTTTGAATTTTGCAGGCCGCTATTAAAGAGTCTCTATCTGAGTGTTACAGGAACTCTGGGCTTGTGAAGACTGAGTGAGAGGTCAGGATCCCATTAATTTTTTTTTTTCATTGAAATGAATGGGAATTTACTGCACTTCCCTTCTGCTCGTGCTCCCGTGGCGTTTCTGCAGGGATTTCGGAAGAGACGTGGAAAGCCAAACCTTTGGACCAAGGAAGCAGATGGAGAGAGATGGAGAAGCCGCAAGATTGCTAAGGTCTTAAGAGGCCGAGGGAAGGATTAGCTTCACGTCTTGGCACAAAGCAAGCGGCTAAACTTCTGTGCCTTTGCTTGAAGGGCAGAAGGATCTGTAACGCTTCTTTCTGGATTTAGGAGCTTGCTTGCTGCACCTACAGATCCACCAGGGGGCGCAGGCGATAAACGCAACAGGCAAACCCACATCTTTGTGCCTGAAAACCATCTCCGACTTACAACCTTCGTTTAGCGTCTGTTGAAAAGTTACAACGGCACTGGAAAAAGGAACTGAATGACCGTTTTTCGCCTTCATGACCGTCCGTGGCCAAGCGATCAAAATTCGGTTGCTTGGCAACGGTCATGTATCTATGACAGTGGGCAAACTCCCCAGGGTCATGGGATTGTTTGTAAACTTCCCAGCCGGCTTCCGACAAGCCAAGCCAGTGGGGGAAAACCCAGATTCGCTTAACAACGGCAGCACTTCGCTTAGTGACACAGCAAAAAAGGTTGTAAAACGAGGCATGGTTCACTGAACGCCCGCCCTCACTTAGCAAATTTGGGGCTCCTTTCGGGTTGCAAGTTGAGGACTTTCCTGTATTATAGATCCAAGAAAGAGTCCAATTCATTCAATCCATATATACATAACATATTTTTTGGAGTATAAGACATGCTTCTCCCCCCCCCTCCAAAAAAAAGAGGGTGAAAATTTGGGTGCGTCTTATACACCGAATGTAGCTCCACCCACCCGCCGGCCCCCACTCTTTGGCCTCTTCCTCCCAGCACTTGGCCTCCTTGCAGCAAACAGCAAACAGCCTGTTTCAGCTTCAGCACAGCCTGATTAGCACAAACGGCTAATTGTCGGTTGGACTGACCTCCCGGCAATCAGCTGTTTCAGGCTGCAGGGATTGCTATCGCCTATTGCCACCTCTGTGCGCCCCGTTTTCCGCCCATTCCGATCCTCGCTACCTGCAACGGGCGGGAAACGGAGGGCGCGGAGGCCCAAAACGGGCCGTAGGGAGGCTGAAAACGGAACGCAGCAGCCAAAAATGGGGCGCACAGAGGCAGCAATAGGGAATGGCCATCCCTGCAGCCTGAAACAGCTGATGGTCGGGAAGGTCGATCCAACTGACAATCAGCTGCTTGTGCTAATCAGGCTGTGTGAAACTGAAACAGGCTGTTTGCTGCAAGGAGGCGAATTGGTTTTTTTTCTTGTTTTCCTCCCCAAAAGCTAGGTGGGTCTTATACTTTGGAGCGTCTCCTACTCCGAAAAAGACGGTTATATATTAGTTTTTACCAGGGCTAAACTTGAGAACTCGGCTCTTTGGGTAATAATCAATTCCAGACTGAGCCGAGCCATCCCGGGTGCTGCAGCGAACTTTCGAGGTCCTGTTTTGATCTCCTGTCCGGATCACTTTGACATTTAAGAAGCCAACGCCTTCTGGCCCGGCGGGTTCACGGACCTGGTAACCGGCTTCTTCAAACTCGATGGTGGGAGCTGGAATGAGGGAGGAAACCAAAGGAAAAGAAACCTTGGTCAGGCTTCAGACGTCAAGAACATTTGAACTCAGGCATCTCCAACCCACAGGTCGTGGTGGGATTCAGAATTTTTTACTACCGGTTCGGTGGCTTGGTGGGCTATGACTTGGTGGGCATGGCAGGGGAAAGATACTGTAAAATCTCCATTCCCACCCCTCTCCTGGGGGAAGGTTACTGCAAAATCCCCACTCCCACCCCACTAACCTGCTTTCCAGCTCCATTCTCCTGTGCAGGGCAACCAAAGAAGACCCAGCCGATCAGCTGGGACTCAGGAGGCAGGGAATAGATGGGGTTGGCGGGGCCAGTCAAAGGTGGTATTTGCTGGTTTTCCAAACTACTCAAAATTTCCACTACCGGTTCTCCAAAACTGGTCAGAACCTGTTGAATGCCACCTCTGCCCCATGGCCCGGTATTGGATTGGGGAAATGTGGACAGCACCATTTGTATGAGGGCAGGGACACACACATGCTGCTTGTCAAAAGGGAACTCTGCGTGCTTGCGCACTCCACTGCTGTGTGCGCATCGCCTCTCTCCCTCCCGCCACTGGTCCACGAAGCCAGAAAGGATGGGCTCCACTGTTTTAACTCATCTTGCGCCCCAAGAAGACGGTGTGTGTCATATTTCTTTTTTTTTTTAATGCCAATTATCAATGCCAAGAAACAAACCACTACCCTAAACTGTTGAGACTACTTGCTTCGGCAGAAACCTTTGAAAGACTCCTAGCTAAAATTTAACAGACTCTGCCAAGTAAGGAGAGGTTTATTGACTGATCCTTTTCCTGATGATTATTTTTTTTAAAAAAAATTGTACTCAAAGTGGCTCAAGGCCCAAGATTATTGGAGATGTTTTTTTAAAAAAATAAAACAGTTCAGCACAGACATGACAAAGACATAACGCGGGTATGGAGAAAGTTAGCTAAGCAATTGTACAGAGTGACAAAGATTCGGAATAGGAGGGGAAAAAAAGTTGTTCTTTGTGTAACGTTAACAACAATCTATTCAGTGATGGAATTTGAATGAATGAATAAATGAATGAATCTCGAAGGGACCTTGGAGGTCTTCTAGTCCAGCCCCTTGTTCAATCAGGAGAACCTATATTATTTCAGACAAGTGACTGTCTAGACCAGGGGTGTCCAACCTTGGCAACTTTAAGACTTGTGGACTTCAACTCCCAGAATTCCCCAGCCA